AGGCTCTTCCACTTTCGTGATGGGGTTCAAACGGGTCTCCATCGCTACTGCCTCCTACTCGGGACGAGGTTGTTCCTAAAACAGAATAATGAATTGGAGCTTGTACATTTATGGAAAGATGGTCAAATGAAAAACACACTGAACAGGACTGACGGTCAAGTTTTTGCGAGTCTTTTTAAGTAATAAACTCTACCTTGAGTTCAAACGAACACAGTTCAGAGATTCGTGAGATTAATATTAATTGCTTATAACATGCAACAAGATCAACAAAAACGTTTACATTTAAAGCACCATTCACAAAACGAAAGAAAAATCGACACGGAGAAGTAAGTAGTGTGGTTTTTTGTTCCTGGATAAATCCTAAACGGCATAAGCTTACCTTGCCAAGCCTAATCTTTGCCTTCTTACAAATAATTAACAAAAGTCATAAATAAATACATTGATTGATTAATTAATATCGTACCTCTTCGTCCTCATATCCCAATAGATCCCATTCGTAAGCAATCTCTGCCTGCCGCCTCTTCCAAAACTCAAGAAACATGGTGGCTGTGTAACAAATACACACATGATCATCAGCAAAGTATTGCATTAACATTACGACCCTGAAAGAAAATCAAAGTTTTCTTTCTGTGAAAGTCACAGACAAAATGATCCTAACCATGAAATGTTCGGTAATCAATCCATTAGCTATTTTTTCAACTCTTGAACGGGATGGTTCAGTACAAGTTTCCCAAACATTCTGTCAAGTTTCTTTGACTATTCAGCGTTGCCAATATGTATATACTCCCGGGTGGAGAGAAGCATTCTCAGAGTGAATCATCTCGCCCAACAACTCAATATAATGACCACACCAGGGCTTAAACATTTAGACTTAAGGTTCCACGTGCTAGCCAGTTATGAATTGTACAGCTGTCAACAATAGAGCCTCGGGGTCTGACACAGTTTACTACACAAGCAATTATTCTTAAAAATAAAAAAGGTCTCACCCCAAATCGACATAAAAATGGCAAAAACCACAGTAAACTCATTGTCAAAAACGTAAGCCACCTGAAGAGAATCAAAGAGGGCATTAGTACATGTAGACGATAAAACTGGATAGATAACTTCTGAAAAACGAACTACAAAGATGAATATTTCCCAGCAAAATAATGTGTTAATCATTATAAATTGTCTCCAAATTCATGGTTTATGCTATGTGTAGCCCCTTTAACAAGGGGCTACATCAATTATTATTGCGACACAGGGCCCCACACTGCGGCCATTTGGTCATCATGGCCAGCAGGAAGAAACTGTGGTGCTTAAATTCAATGTTGCACAAAATTTCTTTCTCTGCTTTCTTCCTTTCTTTCTCCATTTCTGGCAAACATTTCGTGATTTTAACGCTTTAACTCCCATGAGTGACCAAGAGAGAATTTTTCCTTACAATATCAATATAATATGAACCAGATAAGTGATAATAATAAAGAAAAATATCAATTTGGGGATAACTAGTTG